GAGGTTTACTAAACTACATTCTTCTACATTGAATTTAAAGAAAGTCTGATGAAGGGTTTATGGGACAGCTGAAAATATCCAATAGCATTTCGTGAAAGTCTCACACGCCGAATTCCACCAAAGCCTGTGAAAATGTTTATGAAATATATTGGAAAGATCATTGTGGTATTATGTAAATCTGGTTTCATTAAGGATCAATATCGCTGAAAATCGGAAATACGCAACGAATTTCAATGGAAGTGTGCCATATCGATTTTGAAGAAAATTGTTCAACGGTACAGGCCTTGATACTAGGTCACAAACAGACAAACTGACAGACATGACCTCCACAGAAATCCTTATTTTTACTTAGTACGTAATGCCTAAAAACTGAAATCCTTCTGGCATAGAGGCAAGACACTGGACAGCATTGTACATCTCGGATTCAAAGCCAACTTAATCCAGTTTGGACTCTTCCATATGCACCCACTTCCCACCATCTCTGTTGAAGTCGCAACCATGTGCATATTGTCGCGTGTTGGGTATGCAACGCGAAAAATAAATTCACGTAGCCTTCGGATTCAAGAATTATCTATTGAACTCAATCATCCACACTTACTTAAGAGTTAGGAACACAATTACTACCACTTGCAATATCATTACTACTGCCTCTACTTCAATGCTTCTACTGCCCTCCGCGGGTGCGACATCTCAACTGTCCCTGGCCGTGGCCGGATCTCAAGTAACTTGGCAAATGTCTCCAACCCTTTTTATAACCTCTGCCGCTGCCATTCAATGAACCCTCTAACAGTTCGTTGTAACCGTGGAGACTCACTGTTAGGAATATAATACTGCATTATCCTTAATGTTGTATTTTAGCGTCCTGTTACACTGATTTTCGTCCATGATATATATACAGTGTCCGTCTTGTAATGCATCCACTTTCACCTGTCACTTCACAACATCTTTCGGCACCATAGTGCCATCATCAGGTGCTCCATTTACACTAATCTATTGCATTGCATGCCATTATGTTAATGTAAAATTATTTAAAAAGTATTTAAAAACATTTGAAACATTTTAAAACATTATAACTGACGAATATTTTAAAATACTTTTTAAATAATTTTACATTAACATAATGGCATACAATGCAATAGATTAGTGTATGTGGAGCACCTGATGATGGCACTATGGTGTCGAAACATGTTGTGAAGTGACAGGTGAAAGTAGATGCACTGCAAGACGGACACTGTATATGTATCATGGACTGCATTATCCCACTGTTTAGGAAGTAGGTCATTGTGTAGGAAGTGTTATCCGTTGTCTAGCAATGGCTGTTTGGAATAATGCATTCTTCAGTACGTTACATTATATTAAAAGTTACTAAAATCGACCTGTGGTTCGTGTATGCTCATAAAAACTGCTTATGTTATGTGGGTCAGTACGAAATTATAAGACGTAGTTATCAGGTATCTGAAAACGATTCAGAAGTGACGGTCATGGAATGCAGGATTTGGCTGGTAGATAAAAATTTGCCCATGCACTCTGTTAGTTTTACAGCTGCGTTAATTTTAATCTGGATTGTTATTAATGTTCCAAAGAAATCCTATTTTCCAGCTGGGCGTGTCTGTCCGTTTGTTCAACTGGAAATATGATATAAACTGGTAAATACCGTGAAGTTCGGTATGAACATCATGTCACTGGTCGTCTACCTTTCTTCGTGCAGTTTAACTCTCTGTAGTTAGGAGCAGAAACATTCCCATGCCAATTTATCTACTTTAGTTTCAACTGGCTTTGCTGCTTGTTATAGTATTAATTTTTTCTTTTGTGTTGTGATTTTAATTTGATTCTTTCGAAATGACGAGAACAATGTAAGCACTTTTGAACCTAGGGTCGTCAGTTTTGAACGACTATATTTGAAAGGTTTACATCAAACAAGAAATGATGGGTTAATAGATGTTTACGACACAGTTTTTGCACGAATTCTTTAGCTGTGTGGCTGTTAAAGGACAAATAATTGTAACTTAAACTCAGAAATATATATGGTAATATTACAAAAATATAACAGCATTATGGATATTTTATAAACTTAAATTGCCCTTAACTGACTACTCTAAAGAAAATTTATTTTAGAACTTCTATAAAACTATAGAAAATATAATGTAATTTGTTTCCTGTCAAAAATTTCTCCCTTCATCTGATCTCCACATATTAAAACTACTGATATAAATAATTTGTGTCCTCTAGCGAAATTAAGATTCACCTGGGATATTGCCCACTTATCTGAAAGACGTAAGAAATATAATATTCCAAGAAATTACATCCAGTGACAGGAGCACGGCAGCACACAGGGGACTACTTCTGTTGCCGCCATATTGCGAAAACAGCGCCATGGCATTACGGCGGTGCAGATAACCAACTCGGCAAGATGCTGCCGGTACAGACTGAAGTGACTTCAATAATTACACCCTTGAGAGTCATATTACATCCATTCGTATCCTTTCTAACCCTTATAATAATGGGGGTATGCCTTCAATTCCCGTCCAGAACAGGGGCATTACAATGTTACGTGATCCTGATCTAAGAGTTTTCACGTGTCTGTGGACCACGCCTCAGGCTGTAATGCGTATAACTTTTAATTCCTCCTACCTAGAAGGTTAGAATGTAGACTGATGGAGTCTCTGTTTATTTTATGGTGCAATGTGTTTAATTGTCATAAGTGCCTGAATTTGCTAAAACAGAGACTTAAATACAAGAAAATGGCGGAAATTATGTACAAGCGAAGAATGAGTTGCAAAAACGAAATATTTTCCCATCCTATTTCAAACTAATACCTGATTCGATGGGGATTCTATGATTCTTCTTTGGAAGCTGACAGTCGTTTATCTTCTCAACGAAATCCCTGCCTTTTATGGAAACCGCAGTGTTTACTACAACCGTGTTCACAAAAGCCCGCCCAAGGAATGCATCCCGAGCAAGTTGAATGCAGTCCACAAATTTGTATTAATGTATTTTTATAAATTCGTCAGAACATTACCCCTTTCCGTGGGCCTAATTATCACAAATGATCTCTTCTTTTCTTCTAGAGTATTACCGCCTGAGGAGGTTTACGTGCTCCAATGACCCGAAGAGCTATGCTGGCGGGAGCGTAAGCTCCTGGTAGAACCATCCATGCAAGACACGTTAAAGAGTAGGGGCCAGACGAAGTGTATTCCCTGGTCCTCCAGGTTTGGGGGTTGAGTGTGGAAAAATTTACTGTTACGAAACCATGGAGGAGTTCAAGACCCACATAGGGTTGTGCTAGGAAAGAATAAGTAAAGACATTTTCAATCTGCTTTCCTACAACAATTTGTAAGCATTTTTCATGTTCCTATGCGTGTTACAAGTTCTAACCTTCTCACTTCCTTGATTTCATCACCCTAGTTCTACATGGCGAAGACTAAAGGTTATAAAACTCCTTATATGCTATTTTCTTTAACCTCAAGTTACTTCCCATCCTTTATATTCAAATACTGTTGCATAATGCTGTCCTCAAACTTCCTTAAAGTAAGAGACTAAGCTTCGTACCAGTATAAAACAATGGGTAACACTATAGTTTTATAGGTGTTAATCTTTATGTATATACGTGTAGATGTGTGTAGGTCGGAGACGTGAAGATAAATTATTATGAAATAAACAAAAAGAAGGATTACCCGAATTTAATTTGCCTTTTACTTCTTCGATGAAATGATCTTGATTTGTTACTGTCGTTTCCAATATTCGAATTTTGCCACACTTTGTCCTCAGGCAACCTAAATTTCTAGTTGATAAGCAATCTTATCAATGTTCACTGTTTTTGTCACATTTCGCAAATTTTGACTGAAATTAATGAAATTATGGTCCATACAATGAAAAGCAAACCAAATGTTAAAACTGGGTTCTTCAACTGATGACTCGATCGACGATATTTCATGGAACAAATTAACGTAGGCTAATGGGGACGACTGTCCAAAATTCCGTAAGTGCAACAGATAAAAGAGCACCACTAATTTCTCGTGTTTGCATGACTTATGTATGTATGTATGTATGTATGTATGTATGTATGAAGGGTGGGCCAAAATCCGGTCCCTGCACAGCGACCAACAGTGACCTATCTGCATGACTTAAATTTCCATATTGACTGCTCGTCAATTTCCATCTCTAGTAATCATGAATACCTGATATTCATAAGGTTCCTGATCTCTTGACGGTGGGAAAGGCACTCCAAATTCAATTCTTCCACACTGCACAGGAAGCGAGTCGACAGTTTAGTTAGCACCCTCCTGTCGTCGAAGAGGCGACCCCACTTCAAAACACCTAAGGGGCCCGATATCAAGAATGACTGTGCTAGCGAGGACCATCGGCAAATTACTGTCCTGCTCTTTTCTGCACAGGAAACACAGCCTATACCCTATATTAGACCTACGCTTCCATATATGTTCTTATTTTTCTTTGCTGACGCTACAACCCTGTATATTTCCTGGCCGCCAACACGTTTTTGTAACACTAAATATTTCCACGCCCAACCCTTGAACCTGGAGGACCAGGAAATTTACTTCGTCTGGCCCCTACCCTTTAACATATATGGTATGGGTGACTCTACCAGGAGCTTTCGCTCCCGCCAGCATAGCTCTTCGTGTCACTGGGAAACGCAAACCTCCTCTCCAAGATAAGGCGGTAGTCCTCGAGAAGGAATAATATGTTAATAGATAAAATTTAATCAACAGAGATCAACAGAAATGCTTCAGAAGTGCGTTGCGATTTCTGTTATGTATATTTGCTAACTGAATTCCAGCTGGTGGCAAAACATTACTGTTTGGCGAATCCCTGAATATGTCAACCCGAATCGAGAATTGCGAGATAAGAGAAATGTCGACTTCACTTATTCCTAACTTCATAGACGAACAAGAGAAATCATTAGAGGAAGCTCTAATTCGTTAACATCATAAAGGAAACTCATTTACCCAAGTAATGAGGATCGATCTATCGATCTGTCCTACCTGACACTGCTGAGGTCCCTGACGGTTTGGGGACGAAGCCTTAGGCCGAGATTTCTTGACTGCTAATTTGCTGGAATCTGCCACTCCCTTCACATCCTCCGTACTGCCCACTGGGGAGAAAATAACACATTAAATTAATGTTAATTAAACGCTCAAGTCAGGGAGGATGAGATTGGCACGGCATGTAGTACGAATGAGGGAGAAGAAGAACGCATATAGGATATTGGTGGGAAAGACAGAAGGAAAGAGAGCACTGTGAAGACCATGGAATAGGTGGATGAACAACATTAAAATTGATTTTAAATAGAATAGGATGGTATGGTTTCGATTGATCTGGCTCAGGATAGGGATAAATGTAGGTCTCTTGTGAAAACGGTAATGAACCTTCGGGTTCCATAAATTGTTGGAAAGTTCTTGTTTGTTAACTGGGATTCATACACTTGTTTAGTTTCTTTAATCGCTGTTCGATTATTAGGTGAATTCGATCTACAGTCGATCAGTACGATGATAATTGTCAAAAAGATTGTCTTGTGAGATGTAAATTAGAGCAGTCGGAAATGAAACCCTATTTTTTCAGAAGAAAATATCACTTGCATTTTCAGGTCGAAGAGCAAACGAAGTAAGAAACCAGTAACGTGAGCTTATCGACTGTTCCTGCTTGTTTTATGTTTCGCTTATCCTTCGACTCCGAACATAGAAACGAAATGTTCTTCAGAAAATTCGGGCTCTCTCAACTACACGACATACAACTAAGAAGACCGAAATCTTTGTGGACAGTGGTCAGATTATGGTCTTCGAAAGAAGAGGTTGCCTCCATTGCTAGTGTCCAAGTTAAATTGGCTCTGAAGATGGAGGCATAATTTTGCTCCGAAACGCTGGTATTCGTTTTCAAGACTAGTTGATGTCACAGAAATCTGAACAAGCAAGGCTGTGAAAAATCTCAACACTTTTACGGAAATGCAATGAGTTAACATATTTAATTAAACTCCGTGACAAGCCTAATGTTAAAATTAATCTCGGAGGAGAAGGATTTGAAGATGTGAATCAAACGTTGGCAATATGTGTAGAAGGTGATGACGCTACGGACTCCAATGAAGAGGGAATTCCTTGAAGAGTTTCGAATTTCTATAATTTGATAAAGAGGGGCCTGTATTAATTCATAATTCCGTTCAAGGTCGAATTATTCGATCCTGAAAATCGAGACAGAATGTACTTCCGAAACGTCAGCAACAGCGTCCACAATCACATGGCGTAAAAACTCAAGAACAGATTTAAGATCAACAATTAACCATCATGAAACTAAAATAATTAATAATATTTACTTATATTTTAATTTAAAAACAACACTTCACGCGGAATAGGATTTTCTCGGCTCTCATTGGGTCACTTAAAATAAGGATGTAATGATAACTTATATTAACGACAAAAATTACGTGAAATACATTAGATTCTTAATAATGGGACATGAAGAAATATCTCTCATACATATGTATCGTGAATTGAGAATGTAGTCATTGCTCCTGTGCTTCTTATGTATAAAACAACCCGCAGATACTGTATGAGGGGCAGATAATATTGTAGTTGGTTCAGCCACTACGCTACAAACCGGAAGGTCGCGGGTTCGAGTCCGGATGAGGTGGATTTTTCAATTTGACCTAATCCTTCCAGCCGCACTATGGCCCTGGGGTCGACTCAGCTTCTAACAAAGATGAGTACCAAAAATCTTCACGGGGAGTAAAGGCCAGCCGATGCGTAAGGCTGACAACCTCACGGCCATCTGTGAGCCGATTGTCTAGAGAAAATGTTGGAGCCTCGACGTCTCACAACCCTATGGGCCTTCACGGCCTATTACAAGGATAGTTCTTTTTAGATACTGCATGAAACACAGCGTATGTGGTGTAATGAATCAACTACGGTCACAAACGTTTTTTCTTCTTGGCACTACAGCCCCAGTGGGTCTAGGCCTACCTCCATGAACTTCTCCGTTCACTTCGGTTTTTCTAGATCTTACACATTCGGTAGGACTCCTTGGGCGGGTGATCAGCTCGTCGCAAGGCCTCTACCTGTACACAAACACAGAAAAACGCACACACACAAACTAAACATCCATGCCCTGAGTGGGATTCGAACCCACGATCCCGGTTTCAAAGCGAGCGAACACAGTACATGCCTTAGACCGCTCGGCTACTGTGACCGGCGGCCACAAACTTTACTGAATAATTTATTCATACTATACTTCTTTTTATATGAGCAAAATTTGGTATCTATTTCGAAATTTCTATAATTCCGAATGCTCCAGAATTGTATTAGCGTCATTAATGTGCTTGTATTACTGAGGAAGGGCAAGAGGATGGCTGTATGTTGCTGGCACAAACGAGAATTCGAATTGCTGTATCAGCGCCGCATCAGCGCAGTGATCAGGCCATTACTCGAACTAGACTGGGACAGAACATGCCCCCCTTAACTACCCGCCGTGGTAAAATAAAGACAAAGAATTTCCAACTCAATCACCGAACCATCTGAACAGAACCATGTTCAGCGGATAGTGCAGCAGGTTTCCCGGGAATTCTGGTAACGATTCTACGAGATTATCCGGAGTCGCAAACACGGACCACCGCTATTCTTCATGACGCATGCGTAAGGATAAAAAAGTAAAGGTAACCCTGTAACAGGCCGTGGAGGCCCATAGGTTTGTGAGATATTGATATTCCCATATTTTCTAGAAAATCGGTTAATAGATGGCGGAAAGATTGTCAGCCTTACGCGCCGGCCGCCCTTTACCCCTAAGAATATTCCTGGTACTCATTTCTGTCAGAGGCTGAGTATACCCCAGGGCCATAGTGCGGCTGGATCGAATAGGTAAATTGTAAGTATTCAATGACCTGATCGGGATTCGATCCCGCGACCTTCCGGCTTGTAGTACAGTGCCTCAACCAACTACGTTACCGCGTGCCCCCCCCCATGCGTATGGATTCGCATTCTATGTCCATGTTCTTCAGTTTCAGAACGGGTTGAAAATGTAACAAGCGTATAACACAATTTTCATGGGACCCTTACTCTTGAACAAGAAGTACTGGTAGCAAATAATCGACTACTTTTCTTTGAAATGACATGGATCCCATAGAAAACAACGCCTCCAAAAATTCTTTTTTGGCGGAGGAACGTGTTTACCCAGCCGTTGACTAGCAACGATAGGGGGATACATAGTCCAGTCCATTACATTGCTACTAGTCACGCTAGCACAGTAATTCTTGGTTTCGAGTCCCACGGGACTCACGACCACATTTCATTGTCTGACGACTCTGAGAGCCTAGGTCAACCTTTTACACCCACACACACACACACACACACACACACATACATATATACACGCGCGCGCGAAACATATCCGGAAAGTAAAGATACAAAGATTAACTTGTGACACTTTTACAACACATCTTTATTTACTTTTTAACATAGTCATCATGGATTGCAATGCACTTAGTGATCCTGGGAACGAGTTTTTTTTATCCAATTTTCGCAGAAATCTCCAGCCTGCTCTCTTATTCATGCAGAAACTTGACACTTCTGGACATTGCTGATGTAGTTCATCGAAGGTTAAACGTCTGTCAGCACGAATATTTTGATCAATATTCTGGATGATTTCATCAGTGATAATGGCTAGCCTTCCACTCCTTATTTCATCATGAACATCACTTCTTCTCGCTTCAAATTCACGACACCATTTTGCCACGTCCTGCCTGTTCATAACATCTTCACCGTAAACAGGTACAAGTTGGCGATGAATTTCAGCAGCAGTTTCTCCTTTCACGTGAAGAAATCGAATTACTGCACGAATCTCACCTTTGGCGGGATTTTCAATTGACACGGCCATTTTAAACGCACACTGCGAGGACAACGTTGCCGTGACTGTGACCGGTGAACTCAGCCGTGTCATACGGTCTCTATCTCACACGACAGCGCTGTCATTTCTGAAAAAAAAATCCCTTGAAGTTTTATTGAACTTGTATCTTTACTTTCCGGATATTCCTTGTAAATTTCCAAAGAGATGTTCAGTTTTATTACAAAACTTGAAGAGCCCAGTGGAAGACAAAGTCGCAGATGGAAGGCCTATATGAAAATTTGTCTGGAGGGATTCAGGAAAATTTGCGGGAGTCGAATTCAGATTTCAACAACTCTCGAATAAGAAGTGCCAACCGCTTGACTATGATGCTGAATGAAATTACGAGGAGCTAACAGAGAGGTTCGGCCTCATACTCTACCGAGCTGAGCGTCTGGCATTGCTAATGACGCTCAACATGGTATATACTCGTATATCGATCTTAAACAGTGGAGAAATGCTGTATATATTGTTGTTTTGACTACTTGGCATGGTTGATACGTATTTCCACATACCTGCTCCTATTTCGGAGCCGCGTGTTGAGGTATTTCATCTATTTTTATCCGATTGGATACTACAAAGAACGGACAGGCCTCATCAGTCTTCTGTGTTCACCACTACGGCCGAAATGTTGGCCCATGGCTCTGACAGAACCCGTCACCTTATTTTGTAACGAAGGCAGGGACCAATTCTTCACTGCAAGAAGTGGGCGTATAATCCCATTTGACCTTCTTGTAAACAAGATCACCGACCTCTCATTTGTGTTATACGTATTTTTGATATTTTTAAATTGTTTAAAAGATTAAACTTTCGGGCTCTTTCCCGATAATAAATCAGTAATAATTATTAAATATGCTTGTCACACGAATCATGCCAGAGAGGATATTTCGATCTATATATTACAACCTTAAAAACTGTAAATAGAATACAGGCAGTTGTAAACTTTGACGCAAATAAAATACTCTTTTATAATAGCAATAAAAAGACAGTTGGGGCAAATCCATATAAAGGGTAATAATGGAAATGGGTAGAGATAAGCTAATTTATAACAACTACAAGTGTAACAATACATACAGGTGACAAGACACACAGTATACACAAAATATAGGAGGAACGACTCCCATAGTGGATGGGTGATATAATGCGCGAGTTTGAAATGAGACGTATAGGATGATAAATCTTAACAAATTTTAATATATATAGATTTTATTATGGTACACGAGGAATATA